TCGAGACCAGCCTGGCCAACATGGTGAAACCCCATCTCTACTAAAAATACAAAAATTTTCCAGGCATGATGGCAGGCATTTGTAATCCCAGCTACTTGGGAGGCTGAGGCAGGAGAATTGCTTGAACCAAGGAGTTGGAGGTTGCAGTGAACCAAGATTGTGCCACTGCATTCCAGCCTGGGCAACAAGAGCAAAACTCCATTTTAAAAAACAAAAAACAAAACCAAACATTCTAGAGCTGAAATACAATAAAGTAAAAATTTACTAGCAGTTTCAACAGCAGACTAAATAAGACACAGAGATGAATGAGCAAACTTAAAGATAGGATACTCAAAATATCAGCTATAAAAAACAGAAAGAAAAAAATGACAAAGAAAAGCACACAAACCCCAACATTTTGGGATGCTGTCAAACAGAACAATATACAAACTATTGGAGGTTCATAAGAAGACAGAGGGTCCCTGTCTTTTGCGATTCAAGTAATAATTCACGTAATAATGCAATTCAAGTAATAACGTCCAGACCAGGCACAGAGGCTCATGCTTGTAATCCCAGCACTTTAGGAGGTTGAGGCAGGTGGATCACTTGAGGCTAGGAGTTCGAGATCTGCTTGGCCAACATGGTGAAACCCTGTCTCTACTAAAAATACAAAAATTAGCCAGGTGTGCTGGCACACACCTGTAATTCCAGCTACTTGAGGAATTTTGTGCCTCTGGCTGAGGCACAAAAATCACTTGAACCTGAGAGGGGCAGACTGCTGTGAGCTGAGATTGTGCCACTTCACTCCAGCCTGGGTGACAGAGTGAGACCCTGTGGGAAAGGAAAGGAAAAGGAAAGGAATGGAGAGGAAAAACGAAAGGAAAGGCAGGAAAAGAAAAGAAGGAAGGGAGATAAATAATGTCTAACAACATCCCAAATTTGAGGAGAGAACTGGATATATACAAATTCCAGAAGTTTGGCCATTCTAACTAAAATTAATCACAGGACATTCATAGAAAGACACATTACAAATTATCAAAAGTCAAAGAGAAAGATACAACCTGGACAGCAGGAACAAAGAAGAGACTTGTAATATATAAGAGAACTGCATGAGACTACGTGCATTTTCCAGCAGAAAACTTGCAGGCTAGATCGCAGTGAGATGTTATGTTGAAAGTGCTTAAAGAAAAAAAATACAGCTGGGCATGATGGCTCACGCCTGTAATCCTAGCACTTTGGGAGGCTAAGGCAGATGGATGACCTGATGTTAGGAGTTCAAGACAAGCCTGGTCAACGTGGTGAAACCTTGTCTCTGCTGAAAACACAAAAATTAGCTGGGCATGGTGGTGCATGCTTGCAATCCTAGCTACTCTGGAGGCTGAAGCGGGAGAATCACTTGAATCTGGGAGGTGGAGGGGGACAGAGGTTACAGTGAGCCAAGATCCTGCCACTGCACTCCAGCCTGGGCGACAGAGCAAGACTACTTCTCAAAACAAACAAACAGAAAACAACTAACAATACTATATTAAGCAAAACTCATTTGCAAAAAGAAAGGAGAAATTTAGATGTTCCTGAATAAAGAAGAGCTGAGGAAGGTCATTAGCACTTTTGAACTGTCCCACAAGAAATGCTAAAGGGAATCCTTCAAAAGGAAATAAAAGGACCCCAGACAGTACCTTTAACCCAAATGAAAATATAAAGTTCTCTATTAAAGATCAATAAATGATTCAAATACAGAAACATATATCCTGAGAGTGACACTGTATGAAAAAATATTTTTTAAACAAAAACAAAAAAATAATGCATTAGGGTACTTTTCATTTGTAATTTGACTTTTCTTTCCTAGCATTTCAAAGGCAAAATTATTTAAAAAGAACTACAAATGTGTTAATGGGAACATAACATATACAAAAGGAATTTCTGCCACAGTAACAAAGATTACAGCTATAATGTAGTGCTTACTGTACATAATCAGAGTTAAGCTGTTAACATTTTAAAATAATGTTTTATTGTTACAATGTTTTATGTAACTTTAATTGAAATCACAAATGGAAAATCTACAAAACATGCACCAATGGAGATGAGACGGGACTCAAAGCAAGTCACTATAAAAAAAACCCGGCAAAATACAAAAGCAGGGAATAAGGGAAAAATGAAGAAGAAAAAAATCTACAAGACATTACAAGATCTACAGATAAAATATTTGACAACATGGCCTTCTCTATGTGGACGTGAACTACAAATGATTTCCCACTGGAATCAGAACTAAACAGGATCCAACTAAATCCTATCCACAACAGACTCCCTTTTAAGACATACATTGGCTGAAAATGAATGGATGGAAAAGGATATTCCATGCAAACAATAAGCAGCAGAGCAGAGATGTCTATATTAAAATCAAAGAGAACAGATGTTTACTCAATAAATAAGCCAGCATGGTGGCTCAAGCCTGTAATCCCAGCACTTTTGGAGGCTGAGGCAGGTAGATCACCTGAGGTCAGGAGTTCAAGACCAGCCTGGCCAACATGGTGAAACCCTGTCTCTACTAAATACAAAAACTAGCCAGGTGTGGTGGCATGTGCCTGTAGTCTCAGCTACTTGGGAGGCTGAGTAAGGAGAATCAGTTGAACCCAGGAGGTGGAGTCATCTGGTTCTATCCATTTTTGAAAATAAAGTATTGAAGTCTACTACTATATTGTGGAGCTGTTTCTTCTTTGAATTCAGCTAAACAAACAAGAAAACAAAAATGAAACATAAGCCTCAAATAACTAAAATGAGAAATGAAATAGAGGACATTACAAATAAAACTGAATTGTAGAAAATGAGATTGCACAACTGTGTCACAACAATTGGCTAAATTTCTAGATATACACCGCTTACAAAGACTTAACAAAGACTTAAACATGAAGAAATAGAAATGTTAAGAACAGTGAGAAATAAGGAGTAACAAATAAGGAGTTATATTAACCAGCAACAAGTAAGGAGACTGAATTAGTTATCAAATAACTACTAACAAAAACAAGTAATGGATCAGATGGCTTCACTATAAAACTATCAAATACTGAAAAAGGATTTAACACCAACAGTCTTCAAAATTTTCTATGATGAACAAAAAGATACACTTCCTCACTCAGTGAAGCTAGTGTTACCTTGACAGAAAAGGTACACAAAGGATGTAAGAAAACTACAGAGCAATATTCCTCATCAATCAAATGCAAATATCCACAACAAAATGCTAGCAAGTGAATTAGGAGTATATTAAAATGGATCACACTATAATCATGTAAAATTTACTCCCGGAACGCAAAGATATTGCAACTTAGGAACATCAATTTCTGTAATGCTCCACAAAAACAGTATAAAAACAAAAACCCACTTGAGAAAAAAACATTTGAAAAACGTCAGCAACTACTGATGATAGAAACACTACACATTAGGAATACGAGGAATCTACTTTACATAATAGAGGCCATATACAAAAAGCCAAAAGGTGGCTGGTCGCAGTGGCTCACACCTGTAATCCCAGCAGTTTGGGAGGCTGAGGCCAGCAGATCATGAGGTCAGAAGATTGAGACCATCCTGCAGAATATGGTGAAACCCCATCTCTACTAAAATAGAAAAAAATTAGCTAGGTGTGGTGGTGCACGCCTGTAGTCCCAGCTACTTGGGAGGCTGAGGCAGGAGAATTGCTTGAACCTGGGAGGCTGAGGTTGCAGTGAGCTGAGATTGTGCCACTGCACTCCAGCCTGGTGACAGAGCAGGACTCCGTCTAAAAAAAAAAAAGAAGGTAACATCATACTGAGTGTTCAAATAATGAAGGCTTTCCCTTCATAATTAGGAAGACAAAACAGAAAGCCTACCTTGCATTATTTCTATTCAGAATATAGCTGTCCGTTGGTTGCCAGGAAGGACTGGTTCCAGGAACCGCTATGTGGTGTTATGATATACATATCCACAGTTCTGGCTCATAACTCCCATAGCCTCTGCCACAGTCTTCTGTTGTAATGCTGGGTGTGGTAGGCCCTGGGGCAGAGCTCAGGAAACAGAACCTCTCCGACCTTCTCCTGCCTTCCTCTCACCTGCCCAAAGGCACAACTCTCATCTTCCCCAATCTTTCTGACTATAGGTCTTAAGACCTTGCCAGAGAGCATCCTGCTTTACGTCTAGAGGAAAGAATGCTGACAAAGGGCCAGGAATGGTGGCTCACGCCTGTAATCCCAGCACTTTGGGAGGCTGAAGAGGGTGGATCACGAGGTCAGGGGTTTGAGACCAGCCTGGCCAACATAGTGAAACCCTGTCTCTACTAAAAATACAAAAGAAAAAATTAGCTGGGGGTGGTGGCAGGCACCTGTAATCCCAGGTACTCAGAAAGCTGAGGCAGGAGAATTACCTGAACCCGGACGGCAGAGGTTGCGGTGAGCCAAGATCACATCACTGCACTCCAGCCTGGCAGACAGTGCAAGACTCCATCTCAAAAAAAAAAAAATATATGGAAATGTCTTTATATGCTACAAAATGGATAAACCTGAAAGAAGCTATGCTAAGTGAAATAAGCCATTCATACAAAGACAAAAAAGACATAGAATGAAGTTATATAATGTAATAAAGCTTCTATAGAAACCTAAAAGGTCTGGGTTCAGAGATCTTCCGGACACTGAACACACCGACGCTGACAGGAAGGTGAGCAGGAACTCACACAGGTGCCAGGAGGGTGGCACAAGCCAACTCTAGGGAACAGAAGCTCTTGTGCTTGGGACCCCTCCAGACCTGACCCTATGTTCTTGCCATCTGCTAATTTCTCCTTATCAAGTGATTTGGAATAAGATCTTGCTCTGTGTCACCCAGGCTGCAGTGCAGTGGTGTGATCATAGCTCACTGCAGCCTTAAGCTCCTGGGCTCAAGCAGTCCTCCTGAGTAGCTGGGACGACAAAAGGCAAGCACTACCATGCCTGGCTAATTTTTTAATTTTTTGTAGAGATAAGGTCTTACTATGTTGCTGGTCTCAAACTCCTGGGATCAAGTAATCTCCCCGCCTCAGGCTCCAAAAATTTTTGGGTTACAGATACGAGCCACCACACGGGGCCTGGATCCTCTAAAATATGCTGTGTAGCCGGGCGTGGCGGCTCATGCCTATAATCCAAGCACTTTGGAGGCCAAGGCGGGCGGATCACCTGAGGTCGGGAGTTCAAGACCAGCCTGACCAACATGGTGAAACCCCATCTTAAAAAAAGAAAAAAATATATAGATTAGCTGGGCGTGGTGGCGCACGCCTGTAGTCCCAGCTACTCTGGAGGCTAAGGCAGGAGAATTGCTTGAACTGGGGAGGTGGAGGTTGCAGTGAACCAAGGTTGTGCCACTGCACTCCAGCCTGGCGAAAGAGCAAGATTCCGTCTCAAAAAAAAAAAAAAAAAAAAAAAATGCTGTGTAATAAACCCTGTAAACATTAAGTATGTATTACCATGAGCTCTGTGAATCACTCTAGCTAATTAATCAAACCCAAAGAGGGAACACCAACTTTTGAAGCTGTCTGGTCAAAAGTTCCAGAGGCCTGGACTTGTGACTGCTGTCTGAAAGAGGGCCCTAGACCTGTGGGATGTGATGTGCTCCAGGTACACAGCATCAGAATAGAATTGAAGGGCACCCAGCCAGTATTCACTGCAGAACTGACTGCTCACTTATTGGTAGAGGAAAAAGCTCACATTTGGTCACAGGAGTTTTCTGTGTTTATTGCTGTGTGGTGCAAGACCAGGCAGAGGAAGACATGGTTTGAGTTCTGTTCCTGAGTCTTAAATAACAAATTATGGCAAGTCAATGTAATGGTATTTCTGAGATTAAGATGGCAACAGTTTTAAAACAGCATATTCTTAAGATACAAAAAATTTCCAGATTATACACTATAATAAACTTAACTGACAAAAGTATTAATAGTAGCTACTAAGAAGATAAAGGAAAATAAATATTTAAACTCCTATTCAAAAATTTCTGGCATGTGTATAGGTTTTAGAGAGTCTCCTGCTGAGGCATACCCTGTGCCATAAAAAAAACACACTCGGTTGGGTGCAGTGGCTCATGTCTGTAATCCCAGCACTTTGGGAGACTGAGGCAGGCAGATCACTTGAGGTCAGGAGTTTGAGACCAGCCTGGACAACATGATGAAATACCTTCTCTACTAAAAATACAAAAATACAAAAATTAGCTGTGTGTGGTGGCACATGCTTGTACTCCCAGCCACTGGGGAGGCTGAGGCACGAGAATCACTTGAACCTGGGAGGCGGAAGTTACAGTGAGCTGAGATCACACCACTGCACTCCGGCCTGCGTAACAGAGCAAGACTATGTCTCAAAAAACAATTGTATGGCTTTGTAAGGTACAGTGGCTGTAATTCTACCACGTTGGGAGGCCAAGGCAGGAGGACTGCTTGAGTCTAGCTAGGGGTTTGAGGCTGCAGTGAGCTATGATTGCCACTACACTACGGCCTGGGTGATAGTGCAACACACTGTCTCAAAAAATAATAAAAACCGTGGCTGCCACACTGCCCATCCGAGCTCTTACCTGTGTTCACATTTCTGACACACTCCTTTCCATCTTGAATTTTTACTATTTTAACTTCACCCTGCAGAGTCGAGGGCTCTCTCCTTTGCTCCAACATGGAGATAATACTTAGGTCAGGAAGACAGATTCCTGTTTGTAAAAAGAAAGAACCAAGATGTCCTGGGGCATCTCCAAAATCCAAGCCCTATGTTTAGGTAAGAGAGGATACTGCAAATGGGTCAAGAATAATATTTCAGCCGGGCACAGTGGCTCACACCTGTAATCCCAGCACTTTGAAAGGCCAAGGCAGGTGGATCATGAGGTCAGAAGTTTGAGACCAGCCTGGCCAACATAGTGAATCCCCATCTCTATTAAAAATACAAAAAATTCAGTCTTGCTTGAGGCCATAATTTAAAAAATAAAAAAAAAAAAAATACAAAAATTAGTCAGGTGTGCTGGCACGAGCCTGTAGTCCCAGCTACTCGGGAGGCTGAGGCAGAAGAATTGCTTGTACCCAAGAGGTGGAAGTTGCAGTGAGCCAAGACCATGCCATTGTCTCAAAAAAAAAAAAAAAAAGTAAGAAAGAAAAATATTTCACAAGTTCACCCACAGACTGCCTCCTTCTGAATGCGTAGGGAATACTGTAATATGCAGCCATTGAGATCTCTTCCAAGAACTATTGATTTGCAAGCACAGGGGAGAAAAGAAAGAACTGGTTATCGGTGCCACCGAATGACGTATCATAAAGGCGGCAGAACATCCGAAGAAAGGAGACATTTCAAGTGCAGAGAGCATAATAGAGCTTTTCATTTCCGAGTCAACAAGGTTTCTAACTCAGTTAAGCAATTTAGGGGCTCCCAAAAGGCACACAAGAGAAAATGCAAAGCTGGCTTAGAGCAGATCCCGGCTTCTGAAGGGACATTATCCTTACCCAGGGAGACCAGGTTCCTGTAGTTCTCCAGCATCACGTCCCTGTATAAAGCCTGCTGTGCAGGGTCCAGGCATTTCCACTCCTCCTGGGAGAATTCTATGGCCACATCCATGAATGTCAAGTGTCCCTAAAATGATGACCACATTGTTTGCAACACTAAAAATGTATAAACTGTACTCAATTTAGTTTATAAACATTTTTTAATATTAAGCCATTAAAATGGCAGATCATTAAAACATAGAAATTTTGACTCCTACCTCTAATAAATACCCACGTTCAAAAATATAAAAATAATATTTCTGAAAATTCAGGAGTTTAAGACAAGCCTGATCAACACAGTGAAACCCCGTCTTTAAAAAAAAAAAAAAGAAAAGAAAAGAAAATTCAGATGAGGTTTTACTAGGTTGCCCAGAAAGATCTCAAACTCCTGAGTTCAAGGGAAGCGTTTAATCCTTCTGCCCCTGCCTCCCATGAAGGTGGGATTATAGGCATACACCACTAACCCTGGCCTATAAATACACTTTTGTCCATTAAAATTTACATATGTGGGTATTAGCAAAAACCCAATGGAGTTTACTGATTTATTTTGTTAATAAAGCAGTGACATATGACAGAAAATTAAGAATATTATACATTGATTTAACAAATACGCCAGGCAACCCTGTAATTCCAGCACTTTGGGAGGCCGAGGGGAGTGGATCACCTGAGGTCTAGAGTTCGAGACCGGCCTGATCAACATGGTGAAAACCCCAAATTAAAAAAAAATTAGCCATGCATGGTGGCAGGTGCCTATAATTCTGGCAACTCTGGAGGCTGAGGCAGGAGAATCACTTGAACCCAGGAGGCAGAGGTTGCAGTGAGCCAAGATCGCACCATTGCACTCTAGCCTGGGCAATATGAGTGAAACCCCATCTCAAAAAACAAACAAACAAACGAACAAAGGTCATAGAAAATATCTAAGCAGCACATAGCTAAGAAATTACTAGATAATTAATACTCAAGCCAAGAATGAAATTGGAAAAAACATGGTATTAAACAAGATCTCAAAAAACATCATTATCAACAGTAAACATGGGATCCATTTCTTCTAATTTAAGGCAAGGAAAAGGGCACTGGTCTGTGCTACAATCACCACCGCACAGGAGGCCTGAGCAGGGACCAGAAGCAGAGGAAAAAAAACAGAAAAAAAAAAAAAGTGTGGGTAGGAGGCAGGAAAAAGCAGGATCTGTTAGAACTAAGGAATCACAGGCCTGTAACCAAAACAGAATGCTATTTTAGCATATTAACTAATACAAGGCCTGGCACGGTGGCTCACGCCTGTAATCCCAGCACTTCAGGTGGCCAAGAGGGCAGATCACTAGGTCAGCAGATGGAGACCATCCTGGTTAAAACGCTCAAACCCCATCTCTACTAAAAATACAAAAATTAGCCAGGAGTGGTAGCACGCCTATAGTCCCAGCTACTCGGGAGGCTGAGGCAGGAGAATCGTTTGAACCCAGGAGGCGGAGGTTGTGGTGAACTGAGATCATGCCACTGCACTCCAGCCTAGATGACAGAGCGAGACTCTGTCTCAAAAGGCAAAAAAAAAGCAAGTAATATAATAGAAGAAAACAACAAAGTATAACAACTATTTATATAGCATTTGTAAATTTCATTAATCCATTTTAAGTAATCCATTATAAGTTTCATTAATCTATAAGTAATCAAGAGATGATTTAAAGTATATAGGAGGATGTGTGCAGTTTAAATGCAAATACAGCCATGCATTGCTTAGTAACGGGACTTGTTTTGAGAAATGTATTTTCAGACCATTTCATTATTGACTGCACTTACATAAGCCACGATGGTATAGCCTACTACACATCTAGAGTATATGGTGTAACCTATTGTTAAAAATCTATATATCAGGCCGGGCGCGGTGGCTCAAGCCTGTAATCCCAGCACTTTGGGAGGCCAAGGCGGGTGGATCACGAGGTCAAGAGATCGAGACCATCCTGGTCAACATGGTGAAAC